TGACCCAGAGCTTCTCCCACTTGTCCTTTCTCATACCTCCTTGCTTCACTCCATAACACAGGAGTCCTCCGGCTGGACAGCCTTGTTGTCATGCCCCTTATCAGTCATGCTTACAAATGAAAAGAGATGGTGAACAAGTGCACTTACTGCTTTACTTATGCAAGACGTTTCTCTGAAGATTCAGGCTATCAGATCTGGTGAAGCGGCCGTGCAAGGTAAGCAGCGTGGAGGATGCTGTAGTTACCAGTCACGGGGTGTTTTAAATGAAATTTGAGCTTCCTGGAAAACTGGCTCAAAACAAGGAAGTGCTGTAAATATGCCTCAGCACTCCACTGACAGTTACCTACGAATCCCAGATGCCCTTGTAAATTTTATCTTTTAACTATTCTATCAGCTGCTGCCCTCACTTACATCTGATTTGTATCAGGATGCAGATCATTTCCTGCTCAGGCTTGCTTCAATATAAAGATTTAGCAAAGCTTGCATCATTAGAATGGGATATTCACTTATGTCATTTAAAAATGTTCTTAGGAAGAAGAGTGTATCTACTCTATACTTTTCATCCTGTCCGGGTAACTAAAAACTGTCTCTAAAGACAATGTTAATTAACAGGGAGGGTGCTCACAGCTCACTCATTTTCCAGATGAAGGACAATCCGTGCTTAGCAAAATAGCTCCGTCACTCTAAAGGTTGTCCAAGCGGTTTCACGTAGAAGCTGTCTTCCTTTGTGCAATTAAACGTGAGACTTTAAATGATAACACTGCTGTGAAGAAAATATATTACCTTATATTTGCCTTATTTGATATCATGTTATATCATATTATATATAGGATCAAGCAGCTTTTAGTGATGTACACTGTTTAATCTCATCTTTCCAGGGCAGTCCCTGTTCATGTCAATTTTAGACTCACAAACTTCCAAGTCTGATGGTCACCAAGGTGAATGCCAGTTCCTGACACAAAGCAGCATTTGACAGAAAAATCACAGCATTAAAAAGAAAACTGACTCCTGGCTCTTGGATCTGCTCCTACTGAAGGAAGTAATTATGGAAAATGCAGGGTAAGATTCCAACAGCTTAGTTCTACTTCTATTTTAACTTTTCTTGGGACTGATTCGATGCTCCAGTTTTAGTGCATATGTTTCCCACTACAATCTGCACATACTACTTGGATAAAAGCTGGTTTGTTGCGCCAGCCAAATAGCTCAGCAGATTAAAGTGCCTGCAAGCAGGCACGTGGGCTAGGAGTTTGATCCCCGGGCCTGCCATGCCGGCCGCCCCCGTGAGGCATGCTAAGATGACCAATGAGACTGACTGGGTGTGGTGGCACATGCTTGTAGTCCCAACTCTTGGGCGGCTGTAAACAGGTGGATTGCTACAAGTCCAATCTAGTAGTGAGACCTTAAACACCCTGTAGACCCTTCCCTAAAATACAAAAAAGAAAGAAAGAAAGAAAGAAAGAAAGAAAGAAAGAAAGAAAGAAAGAAA